AGTTATTATTTTTTATTAAATATTCAATGTATTATCACAATTTATGAATGTAATTCATTTATCCTGACCAGTCAAAAATCAAACAAAGATAATTTCTTCAAGGCAATGATGTTTTCAAAATTTCGATCTTTGAGGGTAGGTTAGTAAAAGTGACAAATGTGAACCTGTTATTATTAATCTCATGCATTTTGATGTTTCAATATTTTACCACTTTCTGCTCTCCAGGCGCAGTTTTGTTAATCAGAAAATGTCTCCTTCATATCAGTCAGTTTGTGAAAAATTTGAATAGATTATTATATCGAATCTTTATGACGGAGTGTACATATATTTTTAAGTTTATATTTTGATATTTTTTATTATACAATGAGGCTATTTATTGCCAGAGTCGTTAGGAATTTTATATAATATACAGGATGATTTGTAAGAAAGGTGCAACAAAGTGAAATGAAAGATTAAAAAGATTTTAAAGAAATAAATAGGCTCGCTCAAATTCTGAATTTGATGCATATGAAAGAGTAATTGACATATTAACAACAACTATGGGCTGAAATTGTTACAAATTGATGTTTGATCTCTAGTGTTTGGCAAATCAACATAGTCTTCAACCTCTATTAGTTCGAAACAATTTATTTTCCATGAAGTAGGCATCGATAGAATATATTTTTTGTAAAATGTATCATCTTAACACACTAAATTTATCAAGAAGGTCACATTCTTGATAAATTTAGAAGTGAATTCTATGAAATTTGAAATTTACAGTTTCTTTTATGAAGATTTTATTGTTTCTCAAAGTAGAATAGCCAGATAACCAATCATAAAAGTGAATATTCATGAAATTTGGACTGAACTTCACTGGATTGAATCATATGTTGAATACCTTATTGATCATTATCATATCGTCGCCTGAGTGTAAAAACTGGGTAACTCAGTTATTGGCAAAAACATAATTCTGTTGGTTTTATAAATGATCTGGAAGCAACTGATTTCAATGAAATGACTCAATTTTTTGTAGGTTTTATTATTGCTTATAGAGTACATGAACAGGGACAAATAAATAGTAAATACAAAAACAATCTCATTTTTTCAAGAAAAAACCAAAGGTACCCACTTGTTGCACTGGAAATTATATTTTGAACCTTAATGAAATTATGCCAATATATCAGAGATAACCAAAATATTTCTAGCATAAAGTTGATATTAAATCCATTGGGCAGATGAATTTGGTTAAATCCCCAAAAAATAAACAGTAATCTTAATCTTCCTCTTCCTCATCCGTTCTCCTATGTGGCAGGTTGTAGTAAAAATCAAAATAGTCA